AAAGCGAGCTGGACTAGAGACTGCTCGATCCGGAGCTGCTGAACCCTAACCCCTAACCCTAAATCCTAAGCGCTAAACCCCTTAACCCAAACCCCCAAACCCCAGACCCTAAGCCCCTAAACCGTCCGATAGCAGCAACTCCCGATGTTGGGCCGGACATTACCAAGCATGCTTCGACTATCTTCGACTGGACTGGACAAAAGGACCTGCACCTCTCTACTCCCGAAATCGAGAACCCTTACTCCCGAAATCCAGAACCCTTTCTGAAAGTGTTGTTTGTCCCACAGCCTGTCATTGAACTCTACGATGTCCAGGGTTCCCTCCTGCGGGGCGGGGGGGGGGGGCTCTGAGTGAGACCAGCTTCCAGGGTGCAGTTGCCCAATTTGGGGATTAATAACATAGGAGCTTTAATAATTAGAATAGGGTTTCGGGATCTTTTATGCTATGTTTTCTTTGGAACCACCAAAATAGTACAGGTAATTATTACTAGTATGTTCGAAGTAGCTATAGTGTGAATAATATTGGTAGTCTTAGTAGTTTGGTTGACATGATGAGCGTATCTCGTATTCTGCGTTTTATCTTTGCCATAATTTGCGTATCGTCAGTCTTGTTTGCGAGCCTCGCAAGCAGCGTCCATGAACTTCAGTCCCTCGTACATGTCGTCCATGCTTTCATAGATGATGGTGTCCCGGACAATGTCCGTTAACCGATACCTCGCAATTGAGAATAGTGCCAAGGATCTGAGCTCAGAGTACAGCTACCATGAAATCTTCAATCGTTCATCGAAGATGCCAGGCAACTTCGCCACTTGCGTCACGATACTTCTCTTGCGCCTTTGCTTCGCACCTGCTCCTTGACTTTATTGGTGGCTCGCAGTTCTTTCCCTTCGTCTGCGACGCGATCTCACGCACCTGCGCTACATGGGAGCATTGCCTTCACATCTGCTATGGTCGCATCGGATCTGGCAGCTGAGGCCACGGCTTTTCGAAAAAAGGCTTCCTTTTGCTCAATGCAGCGTATGAGCAACTCGCCCAGGTCGTTCACATACTTCTGGTAGTTCAGCTTCGTGCTGCGAGAGTGCCGGTTGGTTGGAAGAACTTCCGCCATCTCTCGAGAGACCCCGTATTTTTCCATCAGGGAATTACCTGAGTCGCTACTTTAGGCACTCCGGGTGGTTTAAGTGATAAGCAGTGTGATGACCTTAAGCCTCTCTAAGAAAGACACATGATTGGACAAGGCCGCGCTTAACCGAATTGGGAGCAGGAACAAACAAAACACTTCCAGCAAGCATGATGTATGATGCACCGTCGCGTTGCACTTCTGTGCGGTCTCTTTCGGTGTTGCCTAGCACGTTGCGACCAAATCAAGTCTGTTTCGGTTGTTGTAAAAAACTATACCACACCTCCTGGCCCTCCCTTGCTGCCCTTACTCTCTAAAACTCGAAGATAGCTGGGGTCGCCAAATCAGGTACAAGTTGCCCAGCTCGCGAAAGGTTTCTAACTTCTCAAGCCCGCCCACTTGTGCCAGGGCTTCCCCATAGGACCTGCCGTTCTCTGCAGGGCCCGATAGCTGCAACCAGTCCTACTTGCACGGACAACCCTGCGCCGGGGACCAAAACAGTCTCGATCCTGCTGACACCTATGTAGCGAGATGTACGGATGCACGCAAACGCTGTATGAATGTATGTAGTCATGCATGCATGTATGCATGCATGTGCGCATGTAAATAAACGAAAGATAGTGAGAGAGAGAGAGAGAGAGAGAGAGAAAGAGTCTGCGCGTGTGTGTGTGTGTGTGCGTGTGTGTGTGTGTGTGTGCGTGTGTGTTTGTGTTTGTGTGAGACGGGAACTGTCGGTTTCCTGTTAAGGCGATGCTCCTGATCGTCGCCGGGAAGATCCATACACGGGCCG